GGGCTGGGTGGCAATCAAGATTTTATGAAAACAAAAATCCCAAAGGGATATAAGCAAGGTGAATCTTTAGTAGAAGAAATGGGTATTTTCTTGCATTTAGGTTTTGTTAGTGGAGATAAAATAAGCTGAGACCAGCAAGCGCTATTCAAATGGGGAAGAAAGAATAGGGTTTTTTGGTTTAACTCCAAGCTCAGTTTGAACCTGAAGTATTAACAACAAGGAGCCGTGGCTATAATTACAACAAGAAAATTCGTTCTTGGCGTTCCAGCGCCTACTAGGGGCAAGCACAGTAGTGGGTACCTTCCACTGTCCCCCACACCACCCCAAGAGATGAGTGGTGACCCCAGGCACACGCCAGCCTCCAGGAGCTGCGGTTCCTGGCAGAGCACGCTGGCTGTGCGCCTCCCCCACCGAGAATCCCACATCCCCGTCCTCAGCTCGCCTGCGGTTGCAGCTCTTCGTCTGAAACACACGCAGTGTTTTCTCCAGAAAGCCCCTCCAGGTTCACTGAAGTGTGTGATGAGTTGTCGCATTTTCGGGGTAGTTGCGAGCTGTTTGAGGGCAGGGACTGTCATATTCGTCTCTGCATCACTAAATGTTTTTGACTCACTGGCATCTGTGCTTGTCAGACTAAGATGAAAATATCCTACCCAGGGGCACCTGGGTGGCTCAGTCGTTAAGTGTCTGCCTTCGGCTCGGGTGATGATCTCGGGGTCCGGGATCGAGCCCCACATCGGGCTCCCTGCTCAGCGGGAGGCCTGCTTCTCCCTCTCCCTCTGCCTGCCACTCCCCCTGCTTGTGCTCTCTCTCTCACTCTCCCTGATAGATAAACAAACAAACAAACAAATAAAATACTGAAAAAAAAAGAAATAAATATTTTAAAAAATAAAATAGGGGGGGCGCCTGGGTGGCTCAGTCGTTAAGTGTCTGCCTTCGGCTCGGGTGATGATCTCGGGGTCCGGGATCGAGCCCCACATCGGGCTCCCTGCTCAGCGGGAGGCCTGCTTCTCCCTCTCCCTCTGCCTGCCGCTCCCCCTGCTTGTGCTCTCCCTCTCTCTCTCTCGTCAAATAAATAAATAAAATCTTTAAAAAAAGAAAGAAAAAAAAAGGGTGCCTGGGTGGCTCAGTTGGCTAAGCGACTGCCTTCGGCTCAGGTCATGATCCTAGAGTCCCTGGATTGAGTCCCGCATCGGGCTCCCGGCTCGGCAGGGAGTCTGCTTCTCCCTCTCACCCTCCCCCCTCTCATGTGCTCACTCGCTCTCATTCTCTCTCTCTCAAATAAATAAATAAAATCTTAAAAAAAAAAAGAAAGAAAGAAAGAAAAAAAAAATCCTACCAAGTCGTGGGACCCAGATGCTAAGGGAACACGTGTCAAAGCGGGACTCACTGGAGGAGAGTGACTGGCATGACAAGGGTGCTTGCAGCTCTGTCCTGTGGATAACGACGGGTGGGAGGACGAAGGTGTCCCTTTAGCTGTCCAGTGGGCTGTCACGGCCTATCCAAAACACCTTTATACTGGAGGACAGTGAGTGCAGTGTCGCTCAGAACAAGGCGGGACGGCCTCACAGCTAAAACCACGTCACAACAAAATGGTCTGCTTTGGAGAGCAGTTTCTGTTGAAGTCTTAGTCTGCCTGCATGTAAGGCTGCTTTAGAAGGCATGCCACCTGGGACGCGACAGTGTCCTCTCTAGGCCCTGAGATTCTGCAGTGAGTGTTGATTAAGCATCTACTACGTGCCAGGCCCTGGGCCCGCAAAGAACGAGACAGGCATGCCCCACCTGCCCTATAGCAGGGCATGTCACTTTGAGTGTTCCAAGAGGCAGACACCAAGACCCTTCAGATGATTAGGGTGCAAGAGATTTATGGGGAATCGTCAGTGAAGGACAGAGGGAGCAGGCAGGGGGAGCCTCAGGCCATGAGGCAGGTCTGCAGTGTGTGAAAGAAGGAAGGGCGCAAGGGCTGAGTGAGAGGCATCTCAGGCTGATGTGGGGCCCCGAGTGAAGGTTTCCCCTGTGGAAGAGCCACATGTCAGGCAGGAATGAGCTGGCTCCATCAGCCCTGCTATGTTAGTCATTGGTAGAGAGTGTCCCAGAGAAGCATGGCCTCTTCTGCATGCCTCGGGGAGGTTGGGGGGAGGGGAGGCGGCAGCAGGGACGTTGGTCAGCTCTGCTCCCAGAACAGGTTCTCTCTTTTTTTTAAGATTTTATTTATTTATTTGACAGAGACACAGCGAGAGAGGGAACACAAGCAGGGGGAATGGGAGAGGGAGAGCAGGCTTCCCGCCGAGCAGGGAGCCCGATGCGGGGCTCGATCCCAGGACCCTGGGATCATGACCCGAGCCGAAGGCAGACGCTTAACGACTGAGCCACCCAGGCGCCCCACACAACAGGTTCTCTTGAAGGAGATCTGAAGGGCGCACTTCAGTGGCTGACACACAGGGGTTCTAGAAAGCGTTGCCCATCACACCATATCTTCCCAATTTGCTTCCCCAGAATCCTCTCAAGGGCTTCCATGGTCACATGCCAACAGGTGGTAGAGCTGGGATTTCAGCTCAGATCCCTCTGACTTATGAAGTCAATGTTGTGCTGCGTATCTCGGGATCTCTCCTAGCCCCTGAGAGCATCAGGAACACACACCTGCTTGCCTGTTCACGGCTAGCCACGGAGTGTGTGAGCAGCCGTAAGTGACACAATCTAGCCCACAACTTGACCTGTGCTCAGTTCACATTGGGATGGAACCATGATTTGAGCCAAGGTCTGTCTGCTTCTGTGGACAGTCTCCTCTCACTTGTGCTAGACTTCATGAGAACAGGGCCCCAAAGACATAGCCAGAGGAGGAGAACTCCTCCTAAGTATAGTCTTTTGAGAAATACATGGTTTCAGGCTCCCAAACTCAGAGAAGTCAAAGCATAGCCACATTTTTGTTTTTTTTTTCTCCCTCCTTCTGGGAGGACCCACGCCTATTTTGATCATCACTGATTTCCCCTTAAATATTTGTTGAATGAGTGACGAATTATCGGGGGGAGGGGAAATAGCACAGTTGTACAACCAAAACCTTACAATTCACTCCCGATACATCTGCCCACCACAGAGCTCTTACACGGCGTGTCGGCTGCCATCAAGCACATGCGAGACTCCCGAACCCCAGAGCACAGCTGGGGGGCCAGCAGGAAATTGGAGGCCCAGCACTGGCACATTAAGTCAGTGGCTGGACAGCCATGAAATGTGTGTAGAGGTTCCTGTAAAGCCAAGTGGAGGAAGACATGTGGAAAGGCTTGTATATGCACCAGACACAAAATTGCTGTTAAGATTATAAGTCTAGGGCGCCTGGGTGGCTCAGTCGGTTAAGCGACTGCCTTCGGCTCAGGTCATGATCCTGGAGTCTCGGGATCGAGTCCCGCATCGGGCTCCCTGCTCGGCAGGGGGTCTGCTTCTCCCTCTGACCCTCCCCCCTCTCATGTGCTCTCTCTCATTCTCTCTCTCTCAAATAAATAAATAAAAATCTTTAAAAAAAAAAAAAAGATTATAAGTCTATACACCAGATGGCCCACTGTCCGAGTCACATGGCAACTGGGTCATGAGGAAGCTCAGGCTTTTGGAACGCTTAGGAACTGACTGTGTAGGCCACGTTGAGGTTTCCAAGTCACTGAGGGCTCATCCCATAGAAACCACTATTTTGTCCCCCAACCATTGGGGGTGGGGAGAAGGATCGTTCTCAAATATTTTGTTTTCCTGTCTTCTTAAATATGGTAAAGTGGACATAACGTGATTTTTTCTCAACTACTGAGTCTCATCATTATGATTATCTGTTACTATACACACCTTTGCTTCTATATTAATTGGCCTCAATTTGTTGGGCTTTAAATATTGTTTCTGATTCTTCAATTGTATTTGTATGACCGCCCTTTCTGATAACCACCACTCCTCACTGTTGTGGGCGTGCCTGGCTATAACAAGCATGCCTTGCCTTTTCAATTTGGGCATTCTCATATGCTAGAGACTAAGAAACTACATGTTCAAGAATATCTGGCTCAGGCGCCTGGGTGGCTCAGTCGTTAAGCGTCTGCCTTCGGCTCAGGTCATGACCCCAGGGTCCTGGGATCGAGTCCCACATCGGGCTCCCTCCTCGGGGGGAAGCCTGCTTCTCCCTCTCCTGCTCCCACTGCTTGTGTTCCTGCTCTCGCTATCTCTGTCTCTGTCAAATAAATAAATAAAATCTTTAAAAAAAAAAAAAATATTTGGCTCATGTGCGAATGAAGAGGCCAGTGGGCTCTGAGAGACTCCCTCTGAACACCCTGATCATGACCATTTTGTCTCTCCAGGGGCTTCTAGTGTTTCTTCCCTGGTTTTCTGTCATGCTCTGAACAGATAAAGTTGTTTGCGAAGTTTCTTCAGCGAAGTTTGGTGCAGCTGTCTATTTAGTTTTATATATATCTCTGTGTTCTGTAGGAGGTCATCTAATCATTTTGTTGTCTACATAGCTTGTAGGATACTATCCTGACATAATATCATAAATAGAACATTTTGTTGGATGTTGTGAAGAATATTATCTATATCATGTGCTTTAGAGTCGACAGAACTGGTTGGAAATCCCAAATTTAATCCCTGAATAGCTTGTGAATTTGTATAAATCTTCCCAAGTCTCTGAGCCACTCTTTTCTCGTCTACAAAATGGGGGCAGTGAATGGCTGTGTCCTGAGTCATGACACTTAGGTGCTTTAATGCAGTGTCTTACCTAACGCAGGGCCTGGAAGCACTTTCTCCCTGAGAGGAAAGCTGTTAAGTCTTTTCTAAGCTATGGAAGATATTGGCACAGAACCTCCTCTCTGCTCCCCGTGGTCTTTGGAGAATGAAATTCATCTCCTCAGAGACCAGCCCTTCCAGAGACAGTTGGACGCTCTCTGTATCAAGGAGCACTTGGCCTCTCTTTCAGAAGAGGGAAAGCCCACATCCATCCCTTACAGCTGAGGCTGACGCTTAGCTTTTCTCTTGGTCTGCAGTGAACAGAGTATCTGCCAAGCCCGGGCTTCCGTGATGGTCTACGATGACACCAGTAAGAAATGGGTACCAATCAAACCTGGCCAGCAGGGATTCAGCCGGATCAACATTTACCACAACACTGCCAGCAACACCTTCAGAGTCGTCGGGGTCAAGCTTCAGGATCAGCAGGTGAGCACTGGAACAACAGGCCAGACCTGGGCCTACCCCCCCACCCCCCCCCACACACACACGTATAGTGAAAAGAGATTAGAAAAAAATAAGGTCAGGATTTGGAGTCGGAAGATCTGGGTTCACATTCTGCCTGCGTGTTCTCATACTCCAAGGTAGGAGACCGTGAGCACGCTATCTTTTCTGAACTTCATTTTTCACATCTGTCTTATAGAGACAGTAATCCACATGCTGTGTGCCTCACTGTGTTATGATCATATTAGAATAAAATAATGGACGGGAAACAGCTGTGAAAATGATACTCCAGGGCTGTGTTAATGTCTCCTTCCGCCTGCACAACTGTAAGTGACATGCTGTGAAGACGTTTGGTTCCTCAGCCCCCAAGTCTTACTTTGGAAAGAATATCGAGATGATCTGGGGGCACCTGGATGGCTCAGTTGGTTGGCATCTGATTCTTGGTTTCTGCCCAGGTTGTGATCTCAGGGTCGTGGGATCAAGCCCCGAGTCAGGCTCCATGCTGGGTGTGGAGTCTGCTTGAGATTCTCTCTCCCTCTCCCGCTGCCCCTTCCACTCATGCACTCTCTCTCGCTCTCTCTGAAATAAATAAATCTTAAAAAAAAAAAAAAATGATTTGAAGAATCTGGGATCATTTCTGTCCCTAAGGGTACCTCCTGGGCAAATCAGACAAGATTGTGAGTGTACCCAGTAAGTCTCTGTGCAAACACAAGTCCAGCTCTGTCAGAAGTAGCCGTGGGCACATAACTAAGAGTAATCTGATGTGACACGGACTGAAAGAGAGACTTGGAGGAAGGGATTGTGTAGCTTCACCACAGTGACTTTGGTTACTACTTCACGGTTCTGCCTCTAGCTCTCAGAGGTCGACAAGGACATTTTTAGCAGTGAAATTAACAGTTCTGCGGTCTCAGCATTTATGAAAAACCCCTCCTGGCATCCTTTGTTGGTCAAGGCCTTGCTAAATTGAGCAGCAGGTTAGCTGCTAACTCTGTAAGAATCAGCACGTTAGCAATTAGAAAACAAAGAACAAAAACTTGGGACTCTATTTTTAGTGTGTTGCCTGTTGAATGGGTTTCTGCTTTGGCCAAAACGGCCCTGTTAAGTTTCGGATTCTTGTAGCTGAAAGGGACAGCCCCGCTTCAGGACCCCCAGTGAAAGGTCCAACCTGGAACTCTTGGTACCTTCAGAGGTATCGCTTCCCCTTGTCAATGAGCCTTACTGGTAGGAAGGTTTCTCTAGAAACCTTCTGGAAGCTGCTTCCCTGTTCTTCCAATGCATTGGTTCTGTCTCTGCCTTTTAGAGGTATGCTGTGCTGTATATTGCAGGATATATATGGGGACAGTTATGGTGACAACCAGAAGCATCCACTCGTTTCCCTAACACCCATGGATGCAGGCCGGCCGGGCAATACCTCCCTGCTACGTGCCTTTGACAGAAGGTCCATGGCCTAGTGCGGCTCCTGGATCACAGTGGGTGTTCCCTGAGTGATTGCTTTTATTGGGACAAGCTTCCCCGCCCTTCGCACCTCATGGTTGCCCTCCAGGGCACACTAGGAAGCCAGCATGGTGTGCTGGAAATGCCACGACACTGGAGAACCAGATTCCCTGCAACCGACATGCGCCGTGTTCTTAGAGGAGCCTCGGCACCTTACTGCCGCCCTTAGCAGAAGCCACACGCCAAAGCTCGGACTGACGGCAGTCCTCAGTGGCCTCCTGGGTAAATTCGGAGGCTGTGTGGACTCTAGTTAACTAAGAGACTCCCAGAGTCTGACAGAGAAGTTACCAGCACAGCCTTCCACTTGGAATTACATGTTCAAGAGACAGGCTCCTAGAGTGTGGTTGAGACTCTTTTCCCCAAATGGATGAGGTGTACATACATACATAGTGACATACGTATGTACATGTATATGTACATACATACATGTGTATACATACATAGCAACATACAAGGGATTCTTAGTAAGCCAAGGTATTAGAGAAAGTGGCAGGAAGCCAGGTCCACAGTAGCTTCTGTGGACCTCGGGAGAAAAGATTGATTTTCACAGATCTATTTTCCAGTCTATATGGACTGCAAGGTCAAACATTTTATGATGTTTTAATGATGATTTGATGTTGACAAGGTTAGGTACTGCCCTGCCGGCCTGCACCCATGGGTGTTAGGTTTATAACCAACTCGGGATATCTTACACATTTAAGGTGCTTTATGGTTCGTGGAACACTTTTCATGTCTACTATTTCAGTCTCCCAGGAACCCCAGAGGATAACAGTATTAGCATTTATCACCCCCATTTTGCTAAATAGGTAGGTGTAAAAGCAGGTGGTCATTTGTGGAGGAAGGGACTAGTACATTGTAGTATCATTAGCTACGGGCTAACCGAAATCTCACATTACAGGTGAAAAAATATGAAAAGATTTTTAGCTTGGAATGAGTTATGGCCACGAAAAACGTTAGTGAGTTTCCAGGCTGAATTAGCGGTAGAGGTCCAGAAGAAGCAAGATTATAGTCCTGCTCTGCTGTGCACTGGTCAGACTACACCAAGAACGTTGGGACCGAACACAAGTGCCACAAGCTGGACTCTGTAAGGGGAAGGGCGTCTGGTCTGGTGAGAGGTCTGCCAGCAGCGTCCCCTGTGGAACAGCTGAAGGGGGCACAAGAGATACTTCCTAGGAGAGAAGAAAACTGAAGAGGGCAGGGCCACCATCCTCAAACCTCTGATGGGCTGTGTGGGGAGGAGAAGGCATGCTTTTCTTTGTACCCTTGAGACAGGGCTAGGAATACTGTGTGGACACTATCAGGAGGAAGATAGGAGCTCCATGGGGCGCCTGGGTGGCTCATTCGTTAAGCTTCTGCCTTCGGCTCAGGTCATGATCCCGGAGTCCTGGGATCGAGTCCCACATCGGGCTCTCTGCTCCACGGGAAGCCTGCTTCTCCCTCTCCCACTCCCCCTGCTTATGTTCCTGCTCTCGCTATGTCTTTCTCTGTCAAATAAATAAATAAATAAATAATCTTTAAAAAAAGGTAGGAGCTCCATGGCCGGAAGCACGTTCTTCCACGCACACTGTTGGAGGGTGGACTGCGTTGCTTTGCAAGCTCACAAGCTAGCTCTAGGCTGCTTGGTAAGAATTTTGGGAAGGACATGCTTTCATTGAAGGGTAGAGATTTGAATGAGATGAGACCTCAGAAGCCTTCACCAACCAGTGGGTTCTAGGGGTTTTTTTGTTGTTTTTTTTTTAAGATTTATTTATTTGAGAGAAAGAGTGAGAGAGCAAGCACAGGGTTAGGGGAAGAGGGAGGAGAAAGAATCTCGAGCAGACTCCCCGCTGAGTGTAGAGCCCAACACGGGGCTTGATCTCATGACCCTGAGACCATGATCTAAGCCAAAATCAAGTGTTGGATGCTCAACCAATTGAGGCACCCAGGCGCCCCAAGGGGTTTTAGATCTAGGTGAATGTGTTGGTCAGGAAGATTGTTTTCCACCATTAAGCTTCTTTTTTTTGTAGGGGGTTCTTGAGTACTTGTACTCAGAGGCCTCAGAGGCATGCTGGACAGTGTTTGGAGTTGCAGAGCCTTTCCTTGAAAGACAGGAAAGGCCCTCTCCTCAGTCCTACACCCCTCCCCCAAACATGGTACCTGTGGGCTCTTGAGCAAAAAAAGAAGGACCTTTTAAAATAAGTTTATCCTGGGGCGCCTGGGTGGCTCAGTCGTTAGGCGTCTGCCTTCGGCTCAGGTCATGATCCCAGGGTCCTGGGATCGAGCCCTGCATCGGGTTCTCTGCTCAGCGGGAAACCTGTTTCTCGCTCTCCTATTCCCCCTGCTTGTGTTCCCTCTCTCGCTGTGTCTTTCTCTGTCAAATAAATAAAATCTTTAAAAAATAAACAAATAAATAAAATAAGTTTATCCTGGGGTGCCTGGGTGGCTCAATCGGTTAAGCATCCAACTCTTGATTTCGGCTCAGGTCATGATCTCAGGGTCGTGAGATCAAGCCCCACATCAGGCTCCACGCTGAGGGTGGAGCCTGCTTGGGATTCTCTCTCTCTCCCTCTGGCCCTCCCCTCCCCCCTGCTCACAGACTCTCTCTCTCTCACACACTCTCACTCTAAAATAAAATAAAATACAATAAGCTTATCCTTCAGCAACTGTCCAGATCAGTCCTTCCAAAGCTTGGAGAATTATTTTTAAAATAAAGCTGATAAGGACACAGGCTGAACGTGGGAGAGTGGAAAAAGGCAAACCTTACAAACACCAGAAGGACAACCTACAAACCAGAAGGAGCTGGTGTGAGTATATTAATGTTAAATACAATAGGCTTTAAGACAAGAAGTATTACTAAAGGTAAAGAAGGACGTTTTCAATGATGAAAGAGTCAATTGAAAAGGAAGACCTAACAATCCTAAATTTGTACACATCTAATATCTTCAGATATATAAAGCAAAATTGGACAGCTCTAAAGGCAGAAATAGACAAATCCAGAAGCAGCAGAGTTGGAGGTTCTAATCACCCAAGGTTCATAACCTCCAAGAAACTGATTGAACAAGTAGAAAGAAAGTAAAGAGATAAAAAATTGACCTAATTTACATTTATGGAAACTACAGCCAACAATGGTAGAATATACAGTCTTCTCAAGTATGCACCAAACATTTACTGAAATAGACAATCTGCAGCAGTCGTGACACACTGGAGTCTTCTTTAATCTTGCTTCAAGATCTCTTAGCCATTCTTGATATAATGTGGTTTCCAGACCTCGTTCCATTGAAAACATTTCCTTCCAGCTTGCTCTGGTTTTGTAATGTCCACTAAAAGTGCAGCACCAGAAACGGAAACGCTTGAACACAGAACTGCTATGGTCTTCCTGTGGCAGAAAGGAACAGGGTCTGCTGCCTCCCTCTGGTCTCTACACCACCATGAGTGTGCTCTCCTCTTAAGAGCATTTTAACCCGAGGTCACTATGCTCCTTACCATGCATACATGCCACAAAACCTCCAGCCGTTTTCCTGAGGATCTGGAGCTAAACCTAGAGAACCACCCCAGGAACCTGGGTATAGATGCTGGCCAAAATTTCCTTGTGTCAAGATGTGAAACAATTGCATTTCTTTAGCTGATTCGGCTCGCCTGCTCACTCGCGTGCACTCTCTCTCTCTCCACTATAGGATGACCCAAACCCACCTTTCACCTGGCCAAGACCTAGAAAAAAAGCTGTTCTGGATATTGGCCATATTTGCTGTCCTCTGGCCTTACCCAACAGCGCAGCCGAATGGAGAGTAGAAGAGAGTGGTAAAGCAGAGGTCACGTCTTAGTGCCCAGCCCACTAGCAAGGTGGCTTGGCCACGTCCCTTTGCATCTCTGAATCTTTTCCTGAGCTCCCCTTCCTGACCGGGGCGGGGGTATAGGAGACAGAGCTGTCTCCAGCTTCAGATCCCAGAACCCTGGAACCTCAGAGCCAGAGGAGGTCTGAGCAGTCCTCCTAAACATCTCCTAAAGCAGGTCCTTCCCACCACATTGCCCCCAGGCTCTGGCAGACTCTGTAGGGAGCTCGCCATATCCCTAGCACTCACTGACAGCCTACCGTGTGCTCTCCCAGCGGGCCATGGGGGTGCCGTGCCACAGTCAGGGCGCACTATCCCTGCTTTCCAGGCCAGAAAACTGATGGCTCATAAGTCCTTGAGGTTGGTTCACACGACTCCGAGTAGAATAACCACTCCAGGCCTCCCCCTGCCTTCCCTGAGCCGTACTTACTACGTCTCACCTTGAAGAACTTGGAAGTCCTTCTCTGTCAGATGTCGGAGAGAGTAGCTCCAAGCTCAGGCCGACCTGAAGCAGCTGCCGCGACTGCTTGGGAGCCCCCGAAGCTCTGGGCTTGGCCCTGGTCTACTTTCCCTTTCCCCGCTGGGCCTGGCTTTTTCCTTGCAGACAGTTGAGGTTTGTTGATTGACTTATAATGCTGTGCATTTGTGTGGTACATTAACTTTTCTGACCTATCCTTTTAATTAGTAACCCATTTATTAATGCATCCTAAGTACTAGACACTGTGCACACGGCCATGGGAGGCACAGATAGGGCTAGAAGACTCCTGCCGTTAGGGTCTCCATGCCTAGAAATCTAGATGAGGTACGCATCGCAGTGTGGCCTTCCTGGTAACCCCACTAGGTTGGTAAAGCATTGTTACCCCCATTTTATAATTGGAGAAACTGGGCCCCTAAGAAGTGCCGTGACCGCCTTGGGTGACATGGCTGGGAGGAGGGACCAGCCCCTGGACTCTGGGAACCTGACTCCCAGCTCAGGCCTCTCTTCTGGAGGGCGTGACTGCCGCATTGCTAGTGAGATGAAATAGCTGGTTCTCAAACCCTCACCGTTCTGTAGGTCATATTGAAAAGCTGCCTGGCCGTGCTGTCACCTTCTCCTGACCCCACCCCACCTCCCTGTCCTCTGCTAGCCCCAGGGGACACAGTATCCCTGCCCTGGAGCCGCGCTCTCCAGCTCACTTACTTACCTCGTATTTATTTACACGTATTTCTGTCTCTTTTCCCCTCCAGGTTGTGATCAATTATTCAATCGTGAAAGGACTGAAGTACAATCAGGCAACGCCGACCTTCCACCAGTGGCGAGATGCCCGCCAGGTCTACGGCTTGAACTTTGCAAGTAAGGAAGAGGCGACCACGTTCTCCAATGCCATGCTGTTTGCCCTGAACATCATGAATTCCCAAGAAGGAGGTAAGTGGGGCTTGGTCTCGGCAGAGACCCCTCTCCTTGACCTCCGCCCTCCCCCGGCTCCCTGGTGTCCCAGCCCCACAACCGCGTCGGGCTGATGTTCCGTGGGTTCTCAGAGAGGCCTGCTGCCTGACTCCAGCCTGAAGGGACATATTAACTGTTTGAAGGAAGAGAGAATGGTGTTCACATCTTCTTGCCATTTGTGAGATACAGCTTTGTACTGGTGTGTTCCTGAAGCTAAATATCCTGATATGTTTTACGTGTGTCATCTTCCTTCTGCATTCTAGAATATGTATTTAGCAGAGGTGGGAGGAAATGAGCAACAATTTACTGTTGAATTCAAGCATTCATGTTGTTAATGAACTTTTACTAAATATTTACTGAGTGTAAGAAACTGGCCAGACAGAATAGGTAAGAAATGAATAGATGGCGTCCTTCTGCTCAAGACACGCCTGAGTAGATAGATTCGTAAACTGCTAACACCTGGGTCGTGGTGAGTGCTCCAGCCAGGTATGGGTGGACTACTTAGGGAACACAGAGAGGGACATCTGGGCTGCGGTTTGGAAGGGCGAGGAGCTTACAAGGCAGAGGAGGGACAGCAAAGGCATCCAGGCCTGAAAGCCCAGCGTGTGTGGGAGAGTGCCCTACAGTGTTTCTGGGGCCTCGGGCACACACAGGAAAGAAGCTGGACATGAAACTTCACAGCGAAGGGCCCCGAGGACCTAGAAGACCATGGGCAGGCTTGAGACTTGGGGTAGACAGTGGGCCTGCGGGAGGGAGCAGGGCAGGGTGGGGCTAGCAAAAGTTCCTAAGCAAGGCAAAAATGCATGTGACTTTTATTGGAAATTCGCAACCTTAGCTTCAGAGGGAACACAGAAGCCTTCCAGGGTCCAGGTGTCTTGACGTCCACGGATACGGTCCTGCGCTTTGCTAGAGGTCTTCACCTTGGTAGAGCTAGTAGAGAACAGGGTTTACGTTTGAGTCCTGGTTCTGCCACACTCTGGCTGAGGATCCTTTGGACGAGTTACTTCATTTCCGGGGCTTCAGTTGTCTTACCTGTCCGATGGCAGTGATAGAGGGTGGCTTTTAAGTTTCATTGGGCAGAGTGTACAATACTTAGCAGGCTGCCCGGCACACAGCAGTCACCCGGTGTTGGCACTTGTCCGTAGTGTCACTCTCAGGGTGGGACGTGGGGGATGCGGTACTTAGAGGGAGATGGCTTTTATAGGCCTGTTGGGCCTGATAGATGGCAGCTTTGGGACCCAATGTGAACTCTAGGAGAATTTTTCTAAGTAAATAAAGGACACGTTTTGAGTATGCTCCCCATGGGTCAGGTCACACACAGCACGGGGGCTTGTGTTCTCCCCACCTCAGCAAGGCTCCACGGTTTGTGGGAGACTTGGGACACATGGTGGGGAAGCTGCCCGAGCACAGCTGTGTTGAGTGACAGGAGCATGTTTATTAAACTGTTTTCTACCCAAGAGCCTTGTACTTCCTGGTGAAGTGAACGGGGTTTAAGGTTTCTGATCTGAACCACCTCGCCTGCCCCAGGATGTGAGAGCTCAGCTTTATTTGATCTGCAGAGGTGGACACATTGAGGGTCAAAAACAAAGTTTTAATTTAATCAGACAACTAACCCTTGCGAAGCAACTGCTCATTAAATAAAAACTACTAGTTGCTTTATTAAATTTACTATAGTCACAGGGATATTAGCTAATACAACCCTCATTTCCAAACGAGAAACCTGTGATCTTTATGAGGAAGTCACTCGCCCAGGCAGCTAGGAACTCCGACCTCCTCTGCCTCCTTTGGGCTGGATGGATGCCCTTGCTGGGGTAAGGGTGGGCCCACCGTGTGAGGGAGGCCTCACTGGCAGCTCGCACCGTGAGTAGCAGGGGCCTGTCCCAGTTCATTGGCCGAGGCCCCATCTCCTGCTTCTGCAGGTATGACCTTTGGTGGAAGGAGATCCAGGCCCGCTGAGCGAGTTTTGCTTTTCCTTCACCTGAGGTGTGACCTACTGGCTGTGCAGCAGCTGGGGGTGTGCGGCTCAACGAGCTTTTATACGTGTATATGCCAGCACCCCCCCCGCAGGTCCCCAGAGAGACCATAGCCCTCCCACCTGTCCCCCCAGGACAGGGGGACGCCAGCTCTGAGACGACAGAGCAGTTCTGCCTGTGTTTGAACTTCCTTGTGTGTATACTTCCTACGGTGTGCACTTTGTACCCAGTCTCTCTCCCTCAGCATTGTGTTTGCGGGAGTCACCCGGGGAAGGGTTCACCTCTCTCGCTGGCTGCCTGGGACTGCCGTGTGCCCCTGCATGGTGAGGCTGTGCCACGTGGACCCACCCACCTCTGTCCACCGGCCACTGCAGAAGGCCCCATGCTGCCAGATCACTGTGGTGTTTTCTAGTGAATGCCCTCTGTGTCGGGGAATCCCAGCCTACCCGCCCTCGGTGGGAGGCAGTTGGCTGTAGCATAAAAAGCATTTGTTGGGGGGCAGCTAGATCTTATATTAAGTCTTTGTTCTGCCACCTGTGGCCCTGGGATAATAGACCCAACTTCCCAGGGTTGTTACGAAGATTCATTTTGAGATGTTGATAAAGCACTTAGCATCTGGTGCCTGGTATGTGATAGGAGCGCAAATAATATTGGTTCTTTGGCTTTTGTTCTTGTTAAACGTGGTCATTTTCTGTAAGCTTCAGTTTCCTTCCTGGTAACATAGGATTATCGGTCCCACTGCAGAGCTGCAGAGAGGACTCAAGGGCCCAGTCGGTGCTCTCCTGCAGCTCCTCCCGCCCCTTGCTGGCAGGCCTCACCCCCTGGCAGGCCTCTGGGCTTGTGCCTTCTAAGACTCGGTGTCTCCTCACGTTGAGTCCTGCTGGGCATTTCCCACCTCCACCTCCGCGAGTGGGGGCCCCTCTGGGGTCTTTAGAGCCTGGCAGATACCAGATGCCTACATACAAACCTGAAAGTCACCCGTCAGAGCAAACCGTGGATGCCGAGCACTGTGTAGCGAATGGTCTTCACACCCCCTCCTCTCCCCTGACTCTCCCCACAGCCCTGCTAGAGGAGGGCCCAGATGACGTCTAGGTTAGCAAGCTGAGGTTCAGGGAGGAAGATGACTTCCCTGTGATTCCACCCCAGAACTGTGCTCACTCAGCAGTCTGCACTGTCCGTGTGCTGAACACCGGCAGAGAGCCACGAGCCTGTGCTCCTTCTTTGTTCCTTCCTGCCTCTCTCCACCTCGTGGGGCTCACTGTCGGCCAGGATTCTCAAAGGTATTCTAGAGAAAGAATGGGCACAACACAGTCCTATTTGTGCTGCCTCAGGCCTACGTGGAAGTGATGGTCAGGCACAGGACCCTTGGAAGATCTGCTTACTGACATCGTTCCTTGTAGCCACAAAATCCATTTTTCTTCAGCAGCGCCTTACAGAGACTCATTCGTCAACTTCAGGCCCCAACCCAGAGAGCCTAAAGTCCATTTAGCAAGTAAAATAAATAAATAAAGTAATCGCCCGGGAGCTCGGTGGTTTCAGTTCCCTGGGTGGAGGACAGGGGTGCAAAGCCAGCTTAGGGTTCTCTTGGGGACCCGCCATCTCTGGGTTCAGGGATGATCCCAGTGGCCGGGGGCAATCACTGGGTTATTGGGGCTTTTTCTGCAGGAACTGACGTGTGGAGGTGCTTTTGGGGGGCGGGAGGAGGTGGCTGTCTTAGGAGCACTACCTCCGTGTAGCCCCCGTCGGGGAAATGTTGGGTTCCTCCTCGCTGTGGTCACCGCTGTCCATGCAGGCTGCTGGCCCCTGCTTTTCACCGAGCTTGGCTCGCACACTGTAAGGCTCAGCTTTTCTGGGGTTCTGGATGCTGCGTCACGGGGTGTGATGGCCAAGGATGGTGCCTGTGCTAAGGTAGGAACTCAGAGTGAGGCTTCTTTGGCCTGGTTGGATGACACAGAGTAATAACAATAGTATCTATACTTTCTCTTAAAAGCCTGGGCACTTTGTTTTTTACCAGGCTACCTCTGCCACATGCCCCTTCCCTGCCCTTCTCAAGGAGCGGTCCACACTAATCAAACAGCCTCGGCGGGGGGCGGTGAGGGCCACAGAAAGACCTTGTCTGGCTAAGGAAGTACTTCCTTACACTCTAAAGTGCTTATAATTTGGCTTCTGTCCCCAGGAGATAATTACACAGCTAATGTTACACACATTCATGTGGACGGGGAGGCGGGGGCACGGGAGATTAAGAAAGGGAGCGCGTCTGCCAGAACCTAGCGGTGGAACTGAGACACAAATTTCGGGCTTCTGGCTAGATATCCGGTGTTTTTTCTACAACTCCGTCTCAGGAGGTCATAGAGGAAGGCCAGCTGTGGTCTCCTCGCTTTGGGGATCGCAGGGGCTTGGGCTGGGCGGCGAGCACAGCTCACGGCACGTTACAGCAGCTCACAGGATGGCCGGAGACTCGGGCTTCTGTGTCCTGGGTCCACATCATCACAACCGCTGGGTCACTGACGTCAGCTGCAGAAAGCATTTCCCTAGACTTGCTCTGGGTTCTGTTTTTAGTGGGAACACACCACCACCTGGGTAATGCCAGTTACCGGGCGGCGGGGGAGGAATGTTTACAGGCTGCACTTGGACACCCCAGCCTGGCTCGGCTTTCCTCCCCCTGCAGCGTATTCTCGGCAGATACCAGTTCACAGTTCAGTAGCCTTCTAAATGCAACAGCTTCTACATGCTTCTCTGTGAGCCTGCTTCCAACCCACCATGTAACCTTAAACATGGACCTCTCTGTGGGCCTCAGTTTCCCCATCTGGGGAACGAGGGCTACAGACTTGAGCAGATCTCTGTAAATCCTAGCAGTTTTGTGCGCAGTGTCGGGCAGGAGGGAGTTCTCGTTCACCGACCATGTCGCTGTGACCCTTGCTGGGAGCAGGCAAGAGCCCTGTGCGGAAACCAGAGTGGAGGGATGCCCTCTTCACCTCTTGCAGGGCCCCTCCGCATCCGGGGTCC